CTGTGTGTTTGTGTGTGTGTATGTAGTGTTAGTATGTGCACACATCTGGAGGTCAGAGGTTATCATCAGGTGTTCCTCTCTTGCTCTCCACTTACTCTGTTTTGAGATGGGGTCTCTCACTGACCCTCAAGCTCACCAGCTGGTCTAGCTGATCAGTCAGCCCCTAGGAGCCTCTGGTCTTTCCTTTCCATCCTAGTGCTGAGGTTACAAGTATACATTGACACACCAGGCTTTTTATACGCTAGGGTCTTTATGCTTATGTAGTGCTGGGACTCTTAAGGCTGGAGGTGCACAATTACGGATAGTCTTTATTCTGTCCATTGTCAGTCATGTGGGAGACAGGAGAGGTGTTAGGATCCTTGAGGCCCGTGGTTCACAGTAGTTGGTACCTAGCATTCTGCCCATTCGTAGCCACATGCCACAGAGGCAGGAGCACTGGAGTATTCAGGGCTTATGGCACACAATCACAAGTATTTTCATTTCCTCCAAAACCATTTCCCACAGCAGTGTCACCTCTTTGCTTTCCTAATGAATAGACATCTTCCTATCTTCGGAAGGGAGGGGAAAACCATCTTCACCTTCTCCCTTTGTTTCTGGCCCAGGTTCTCCACAGCGGGTCAACGGCAAGGTGAAGGGAAGGATCTTCGTGGGGAATAGCCAGGTCCCCGTAGTGTTTGAGAACACTGACCTACACTCCTATGTGGTGATGAACCATGGACGCTCTTACACAGCCATAAGCACCATCCCTGAAACTGTCGGGTATTCTCTGCTTCCCCTGGCACCCATTGGAGGCATCATCGGATGGATGTTTGCAGTGGAGCAGGATGGATTCAAGAATGGGTTTAGCATCACAGGTAATTGAACCCTCCAATTAAAATGAATGGGCTACACAGTTATGGGGGAGGTCTGAGAATGAATGGGTTCAGAACTCGGTCTGCAGACACCTGAAAGCATTTCATTCATTTGTGGACAGGGCCCCTTCTAGTTCTTCCTCAGAAATAAGGACAAGGAAACATCCATGTATAGCATATTCATTAAGGGAGACCATGTAGAGTTATGTTTTGATGGAGGGATGGTTTCTTTTTTTTTTAAAGACTTTATTTATTTATTTTATATATATGAGGAATACACTGTAGCTGTCTTCAGACCCACCAGCAGAGGGCATCAGATCCCATTACAGATGGTTGTGAGCCACCATGTGGTTGCTGGGAATTGAACTCAGAACCTCTGGAAGAACAGTCGGTGCTCTTAACCGCTGAGCCATCTCTCCAGCCCTGGAGGGATGGTTTCTTGATGGAGATTTAGAAGTCTCCATATTTGATGCTGAGGAGATAACATAGCTTCCCTTGCAAGCATAAGGACCCATATCCATTTCCTGGAACCCATGTAAAGAGCCAGGTGTGATGGCAGGTACTGATGATACCAGCTCTAGGGAAGCAGAGTCAGGATCCCCATGGTTCACTGGCCAGCCAGCCTAGTTGTCATGTTCCAGGTCCCAGTGAGAGACTCTGCCTCAAAAAACAAGGTAGACAACTTTTGAGGAAAATCATCCAAGGCTGATCTCTGACTGTCATACATACCTGTACACATAGGTATACCTCCACACCCACAAACATGCACACACCCCTTCACATACCAGTACACTGTGTACAAAAGTGTACATGCACACATGCAATCATGCACACAAACCTGAATACACAGATACACTCTCACACATATAATCTTGTGGAGATCTGCATGTACACATGGAAACGTCTCCAAGGTTGAGCAAGAGTTACTAGCTTATGCATCTCACCCATCTGAAAATGGCTTAACATCTTCGTATCTCCAGGAAAAGAGCCTGCCACTTCTAGCTGGTAAGTCCAACTTGATCAACTTCATCCTCTTGAATGCCAGGAAACTTTGAAGGCGCTCAGAGGCCATGCCCTTTAAGGAAGGCTGAGTCTTTTGTGGATATGTTGGCAGATCACTGAGGGTATCTCACCTTGATGTTACAATGTCTCCTTCCATGTTCTGCTAAGGTCAGCTCCATGTAGATGCTGGGTGGAACCCAGGGTGGAGGAATCTTTATTTGTCTTAGAGTTTCTATGGCTATGATGGAATACCATGACCAAAAGCAAGCTGAGAAGTGACCAAAGCAACTCGGGGAGGAAAGGGCTTATTCGGCTTACACTTCCACAGCACTGTTCATCACTGAAGGAAGTCAGGACAGGAACTCAAACAGGGCAGGAACCTGGAGGCAGGAGCTGATGCAGAGGCCACTGGAGGGGTGCTGCTTACTGGCTTGCTCTCCACGGCTTGCTCAGCCTACCTTTGTCTAGAACTCAGGACCACCTGCCCAGGGATGGCACCACCCACAATGGGCTGTCTCCTCCCATATTAATCATTAATTAAGAACATACCCTTCAGGCTTGCCTATAGCCTGGTTTTATAGAGGCATTTTCTCAATTAAGGTTTCTTCCTCTCCAATGACTGTAGCTTTTGTCAAGCTGAATAAAACTAGTCAGTATAGAGTCCACCATCATTTTCAGGATGCACACCCATTGTCCTGGGCTGGGCATGTTAATCCTGCCTCCTCCTCACTAGATTTACCTTCTTCCTCTGCAATTCCTCCCCCGAGCCCTCCCATCTTCTGTTTCATGCCACAAGTATCCATGTGTCCCTTCCCTCTTCCCTTAGCTCTTTTCTTCCTTCCTTCCTTCCTTTCTTTCTTTCTTTCTTTCTTTCTTTCTTTCTTTTTTTTTTGGTTTTTTTTTCGAGACAGGGTTTCTCTGTGTAGCCCTTGCTCTCCTGGAACTCACTCTGTAGACCAGGCTAGCCTCGAACTCTGGAACTCAGAAATCTGCCTGCCTCTGCCTCCCAAATGCTGGGATTAAAGGTGTGAGCCACTACCGCCCAGCTGTCCTTAGCTCTTTTCTTCCCCTCTCATGCTTTCCTTTTTACGTCATGTGTCCTACAAATATATAATATATTTGAATATATAATAATGAGCATGTAAATTTAAATCTAGATTCTGCATGGGTGAGATACCACACAATATTTGTAGTTCTGAGTCTAGCTCAGTTAAACAAGACAGGGCACAATAGTTCTTTGCCTTCCTCTCACTTCATGAACCTAGGGCCAGCAGGAGGGTGTACTTGCCAGATGTCGGGGTGACAAGCCTGTCTTACTTTCCAGGGGGTGAGTTCACCCGACAAGCTGAGGTGACCTTCTTGGAGCACCCAGGCAAGCTGGTCCTGAAGCAGCAGTTCAGTGGTATTGATGAACATGGACACCTGACCATCAATACGGAGCTGGAAGGCCGAGTGCCGCAGATCCCCTATGGTGCCACCGTGCATATTGAGCCCTACACTGAGCTGTACCACTACTCCAGCTCAGGTAAGTCCCGGACTGAGAGTTCCAGGGCAGCCTGCCAGTCTGCATGTGCCCACCCACTGTGATGACCTTGAGTTCCTGGAGCAGTTTCTCTGGGATACGTAAAGGGAAACACAAAAGGCTATTCTTTATTTTAATTCCTTTCTCCCTAAGTACAAACAGAAGACACATGTGAAGAGAATTTAATGGAAAACAATAAAATAAAGTATATTGGGACACACCAGCCATTCCTGCCCTAGAGAAGCTGACTTAGAGGGATTGCTGCAGCTCCAGGCCAGCCTGAGCTACGTAGTGAGACCCCCAAACACCCAGAAAATGGAGTGGGAACTATCTAGGTTGAGGGCTTGCCTTCATACAGTGAATATAAAAAGCCCTGAGTTCAATCCCCAGAACTACATAAAGCAGGTCAGGTGTCATATACCCGTAGTCCCAGCATTTGGGAAGGGGAGTCAGGAAGATCAGAAATTCAAGCTCATCCTCAGGTATACAGTAAGTTTAAGGCTAGCCTGGGCTACATGAGACCTTATCTAAAAAAGGAAACAAAATGACAAAAAAAGAACTTTAGGAAATAAGCCTGCATATAACTATTAGATTTAAATATATTTTTGCTAATTTTCCCTAAAGTCTACCATCTACATTAATGTTATATGTTGCCACTATTATATAATTCAAGATTTTATTATAATGTATTTATTTGTAGATTTTACACTTATTCTCCTTTTGGCATTTGTTTGGAACTGAAAAGAGTAGCAAGAGCTTCTATCTGCCACTTCCTCTGCTTGGCTAGTTCCTAGCATTTGCCACCTGTATTATAACACACGTATACACACACACACATACAAACAAACACATATACACACACAAACACATATACACACAAACACACATACACACAAACACACATACACACATACAAACACATATACACGCACACACACAAACACACACGTATACACACAAACATACATACA